CCCCGCCCAGTTCCAGCAGACATCTCCATCTGCTGCCTCGCTCTCCCAGCCCCTCTGCCCCTGTCCCAGCTACAAGGAACTATGGAGGTTGCAGTGAGCCAGAAAGCCTTGACAGATGGTTTGCTGCAGCATGTCAAGCAGAGCTGCCGTGTAAGCACCAGGTGGTGCTGCTCTGCTCTCTGCCCAGCATTGATGCTCGACTTCTTCACGCAACAAATCTTGAAACAAGCTCAGGACTTTTTTATGGAGTTTATGGACAAGTGATTTTTTTTTTTTTTAGACTGACTTCTTACAGACTGTCCATAAATGTTATGGATAGTTGGCAGTCCTGGGTGGGATGGAGAAGGCTACAGCTGAATCATTTTGGGTCTGCTTTAAGCTGATAATAGCCCTCATGAAGCAGAATTGTGCATGGGGCAATTTCACCTGGTTGCTGTTGCGACAGCAATGCTTGCAGTGCAGCATCTCAATTGAGAACCACTCATCAAGACCATTCAACTTCAGACATTCATAACTAGCCTATGTTATGCAAGAGGTCCAACAACAAGACACTAAGTGTCACCCAATATTGAGATCTCAGTTTATAGTATATCTACTGAATTGTTGCAGGTAACTTAAAGTATTCAATATTATACTTGTCCTTTTGAGAATTAAATCCTGTGCCACTTCATAGAGGGGGAAAAACTGGAGAATGTGCAACCTCTGTGTTAAATCTGGGACTGGAGCTGATACGCAGGCTCCGCTCGCTTGTGTTCACTGAATGACTAAGCCTGGAAGAGCATCAGTGGCTTGGAGGGACCTCAAGCATGTGCCCTAGTGCTGCTTTCAGACTTCATCTGCACGGCACTATCTCAGATATTTTGTGTATATATTATGCGTGTGCATAATGAAATGGCACAACATAAGTAAATATTTTTTGTTTGTGTTTTAGAACTGTTACGTGATGGATATCACAGTCTTGGATGAAACTGAAAAACCCTTTTGGTGCTTCAGTGCTCCAGTCTGCATGAGAGTGTCTTCTAAGACATCTGGCCTTTATGACTACATGGGGTGTATCTATGACATAAACTATGTGGATTCAGATGGGAAAGTGCACATTGAGCTTGTGTGGATGGATAACACCAAGGAATATTATATAGTGAATCTAATCCTTTACATAAGCACCAAAAAAGTTAACAGCTGGTATGGAACAAACTATTGAAACTAATAATTTCTGCAGATGACTTTTAAAAAATGTTTCCTGCAGATAACTAGTTTGGTTTTTTATAATTAAAAGTTCAAATGATTCTGTAATCCAGATGTTACAAGTTGTTTTATGCTATTTTTTTTCTGAAAATTACTAAATTGAATCATAGTTTCTCTTGTAGCTGGACCATAGATGCCTAATATCTGTGCCAATTACTAGGTATGATGGGAGGGAAGACGAAAAGGAAAAAGATCAAT